CGCAAGCAACACGGTTGATAATTTTCCAATCTTCTTCTCCAATAACATCTGGTCTCTTTTCTTAAATGGCAATATCTAGCCCTTGTTGAAAAAGGACATCTAGAACCCGCCTTACCACATCCCAAAATGCCCGGACCCGTCAAAAATTTCTACCGCAAATTTCGCATTTGANCGTGGGATTTGCCAAATTCAACAAAACCTGGGTGAACATTTCATCAACAAGTGAGATGGTTGAAATTATTATTAACTCTAGTGAAGTTGCTTATAATGCCTGGAAGTATTTTCCCAAAATATAGTTTTTGATGTTTGATGGTAAGTAAAAAAATGCTTTTCTGAAAACTGGGGAAATAATATTAGCATCGAGGAGCTTTTTATGAAAATTTTATTTGGAATACTAAAGATTACTAATAACTATATCTAAATATTAATTGAAGCATAAATCATAATATGAACTTTAAAGTTTAGATATTTGTAAGGGAAAATTGCTTGAAAGAGATTGTTTTCCCCCATTTGATGGTAAATATTTAGTTGAAAAACACTCTTTATCAACCGACCATCAGAATTTTCCTAAATATGAATCTTTTGTTTTTCTGGTAAAAATAAAATGAATTTCCTCATTCAATTATCCCTAAAATCTTGGCACGACAAATATTGTATATTTGCGTAATTTTATAAATTATAACTTTAGTACACATACACGAGCGTCTCATTTTTTTTTTTTCAATACATGCGCACATAGATTTAAATTATATCCACTGCATTTAAGAATCAAACTTGATTTTGATGCATCTGAGATCATATCTTGGATCATCATTACCAGAACATTTGGCATTTCATTTTTGTTTCTGAGAAGCAGTCACTACGTAGTAAAAGAAACACGTAATTTCCGATGAAATTATTAAAGCGGGTGACATCTAGCTGTGATATATATAATTGCATGGTGATGGAGACTTGATGACACATATAGATAGTGAATGTGTGTCCATTTAAAAAAATTAAACCCTAATTTAAAGGGGAGGAAATCAACCCAATGTTTTATGAACAGACAAAAAGAAATGTACAAAAACAGCATTGTTGATGGGTCAATATTTATTTTTACATCCTGTCACGGCCATGAAGGAAGCATCCTTTCTCTTTCCACAAGCTCTATGGTAATCTGAGAGCAAAACAAACATTTATTTTAGCTAGGTAACGAATATATACAACATATATTCCTGGGCTTCAAGCCAATATATGTAGTCTCTACTATAATTTTCAAGTTTATCTGCCTTGCAAAAGAAAGAGAGTTTTAACTTTTAACCGTGGATGGATCTAGCCTACATATTATGTGTTCATCTGAAACTAATAGTTTTAGCTTGAGCTCTGTATTTGTGTTTAAAAGGTCTATTAAATAAGTATAAATTATATATTTTTTGAACCCAATATATCAAATGCATGCGTTGTGTTAGAAACAGAACTCAAAATCACAAACATACCCGTTTTCAACACTTTTTTTTTGTAATTCCCATTAAAGGTGATGCATTATTATGTTTGTTTATTTTAATTTTGGATGCAGGGTACAAAGTAATCCTCTTCAATTATCCTCTCGTATCCTTGATCACCATGAACGCCCACGGAATAGAGACATAGGATTTGCAGTGAGTAGTATTATAATAAATATAATGGAGTTAAATATAAATAGGGACGTGTTATGAGGAAGTAACAACACGAAGTTGATTAATTTGTTTAGTACCAACATAGCTAGTTGTATTTTGAATATTAAGAAGATTTGGTGGGCGTTTGGTCATAATAATTGTAAAATTCCAACAAAAAAAAAAAGTGAGAATTTTCTCATTCACAAAACTTCTCGCGCCCTTCTCGTAGTTTTGACTTGCTCTTAGGCTACCGTTGACCGGCTTCGCGAGACCATTTAGGTCTACATACACATGGCTAAGCCCTATTGGGTGGAGCTTTCTCAATCCAAGCTAACTAATAGAAGAAAAGAGAAGAAAGGAAGATCTTATAAGAGGCTCACCCCATCTTTACATAAGCAATTTCTTGAACGGAAAAAATAGATGCTTTCATGGACTAAGTGAAAATGATATTTGGTTGTGTTTGGACATGAATATAATTTTGGGTTGTTTTTGAAGTTTTGTGAGATATCTGAGTGAAAATTTTGAAAAATAACTTTTTGGAGTTTTTCAAATTTTCGAAAAATTCCAAAATTCATCTTCAAGTGAAAATTGAAAACTTTATGGCCAAACACTGTTTCGAAAAGAAAATGAATTTTTTTTGAAAAAAAGTGAAAAAATTCTTATATCCAAACGGAGTTTTGGTTTAAGAAAGTTTCCTCCTAACCGTCACACCCAAGAATACTTTTCTGGCTTTATCCCTGAATAATATAAACAGATTTAAACAACTAGTAGTAATATATAAAAGCATAATTCCTATGCTAATCTAATTATATAACAAAAATAAAATAGTTTGTATTTAGTAAGATATCTAAAACTAGCCGGCCTGTATTAAAACTACATCTGACTTAATTCTCCAACCAAACCCTCCCCCACACTTTACCCTACTTCTTTTTTTTTTCAAAATAGGAAAGCCCTTAAATTGTCTCATCATTCCCTTGTGTCAATCAGATCGATCAAACCAAACAATATAATCATCTCCAAGATACTTTCTTTTCCATGGAGTCTTTTCATAACCAAGACTACAATATGAATAACTCGTCAACTACTCATGATCAAGAAGTTGACCAGCCAAAACTAGAAAATGGAGTTGGCAGATCTTATGAGTGTGTATTCTGCAAAAGAGGTTTCAACACAGCCCAAGCTTTAGGTGGCCATATGAATATTCATAGAAAAGACAGAATTAGACATAGACCAATTAGTCAGAGTTCGATCATCAACTCCAACAATAAGTATGATCAAATCCAGAACCATGTTGGAGCGGCAGCTCATTTAAGTTTCCGGACATATTTTCCTGCCCATTCTTCTACATCCACTACTGGTCCAGTCTTGGTACACGATTATAATACTGGATTGCAAGATAATAACAATAATCGGCAGTGCCTGAATTTGTTCGGAGATGATTGGCGTGTGAGTTTAAGCTTGGAATTTGGTGCAGCTGGGCATGTAAGAGAAACTATGGAAAAGAATAAGGGTACAGAAGATCATGATCTGGATTTGGAGCTTCGATTAGGTCATGATCCTTAAATTACCAAGAGTATGAAGATTAGTAGTATAATATTGGATCGGAATTATTGTACAGCAACGTGTACTAAGAAGTTCATAAAGTCCAACGCCAAAGTCACTATGATTATTACAGATGGTGTAAAGCAGATTCACGTAGACTGGTAAGTGCGCGATATGAGTACTACTGTTATTTGTTGCACGTTTATGTTTACTTATCTGAAGATCTATCCTACCTATATATTAGGGTTTTGTATGTTCAGTGTATTATCCGTCCGCTCCTCTATTTTTTAATAAATGCGGATTCTATTTTCTGTTTTTCTTTTCAGTTCTTTCGATGGGATCCTTCATGTGCTTAATCCGTCCTTGTTTTGCCCCATCAATTTTATTTTCTAATGAAGCTGTTGAGGAAAATAACAAGGAGATTTAGCTAGTCCCTTCGTGTCCTCACGTTCAAGAATATAATGTATTTATTGCTACATTTTCATTAAAATACTAATTTGTTTTATCTCAGTTGATCCGAATTGCCAAAACTCTTACACAGGTATATAGAGGGTATAACATCTTAAGTATAGGGTACCATGTTTTAGAAGAGCATTGGAGCTAGGCATTGGCTTAGCTGCTTCCTCGCTCTCTCTATATATCTCGTTGATCTTCTTACCCAAATCGATATTGAATTGGACATTTTCACAATGAGAAGAGATAAGGCATGATGTTATTAGGTAAGCTACACTCTAGTAAGAGTCGTCACAAAATTATACTGCATATATAAATAAAATATTAGGTTTAGAAGTACATAACATATATTGAATACCCTTTGTCAGAGATTTTTCTTTTACTTCTTTCAAGTTTGAATACCCTTGGGGGAATTCCTGGCTTTGCCACCGAATGTTATTTACTTATTTTGCTCTCCCATGCAAAAGACTATATCGAAACTACTAGTGGGATTTAGCAACTCCTATATATCTACTATATATAATGACCATTGATAGGTTTATACATCCTTGATCCTATTGATCATGTCTAATGACACAGCTAGAATTGATACACAACGATTATATAATTCGAAATTGGAGCTCTTGCAATAATTATGAGGTACTTTAATATCGTTAAGCACATTGACTTGAACTGAATGAATAATATCCATAATTTGAATTTCTTTCGAGAGAGGGAAATAAGAAGTAACTTCTTACTAAATGTTCTGTTTTGCCCTTCTATTTGAGGGGTAGGACATTTAATTTGATCAGATATTCATACTTTGCTTTAAGAAGGTTTTCTTGGTAGAGCTAGAAACACCAAATCACAAAAGGAAAACCGATGGTGTAATTTACACAATTCCTGCTCCATATATTCTAACTTCCAGATGCTAATTCCTTGCTTATATATTCTTACGCAATGATACAGATACAAGTATATATTGTTAAATTAGGTTGATATAGTGTTTTCTTCAATGGCAACAAAGCATTTATACAGTATTTTTAGTTGGGTTAATTTGTGAAATTGTCAATGGAAGATGCTATTTTCCTTTTTGGCTTCTTCGTTTAAATTTCTCTTTGGTATGCTAGTTTCCTTGGTGAACACATGCAGCTAAAAGTTTGTCCATTTGATCAAGTTAAAAACTTGTTAAACTGGCAATTTGATAATCAGCTACTCCTACTTTTCTTTTTATGAGTAAAATTAGTTTGTAAAATCTTAGGAAAGCAGCTTATTAGATAGCTTAACTTGTTATTTTTGAGATCATCTTGGGTGAAACACATGCAGCTACAACTCCATTTGTTCAAGTTAAAAACTTGTATACCGGCCATATATATGTATATGCAGCTACTTTTCTTTTATGGGTAAAAGTGATCTTAGAAAATTAAAGCATCCTATACGATTTGAAACAATTAAATTGTTATTTAATTTATGAGAAGATTAAAACGAAAATTGTTGGTGTCAAAAAGCTGTTTGGCTTGTTTACTTGGAAAAGAAGAATGTAGTTTCTCCAGATATATTCACGTACACCTTTCGTGTTTGTCACAGAGGCAACTCAATAATATTGGTGTCCTAAGGCCAAGATATAATAAGAGGCCAACTTGTTTAATTATTTTAGATATTTTTGTTGAAGTTATTTTTTTTACTTTTTAAGATGCAATTTCATTTTGATGATGTAACCAATCCCTTTAATCTTTGTTGTAACATTACTAACCTTAGCTTTGATAAGATTTTATTAAGTTTAATTTTGAATTTTTTCTTTTCACATGACCGTCAACATAACTTACTATATAGCATTGCCTCCCAAAGTAACAATCATGTAGAAATTTGTATTTACAAAGATGATAAATATTTTACGAGCTTGAAGCGTGCCTATAGAGATTTTGAAAGAAGATATCTTACAAAGTAAGAGTTGTAAATAAAATTTATTCAAGTTAGAGTAAGAAGAACTAGAACGTAACTGCAGATTTAAGTGCCTTTTATTTCATTTGAATTTTCTCAACCAACTCCGAAAAAAGACAATATAAAAAATTAAACTATGTTACTAAGGATTGGTGACAAGATAGCAAAAGATGATTAAAAAAATTTCTTATCACTATTTAATAATAAATGCAATTAATATTTAATTACATATAAAAAGGGTAGCTTTTGGGGCTCTAATTTTGTGAGGCCTAAAGCGGCCGCATTTAGTGGCTGAGGAATAAGCCGCCTCTGGTTTGTCATCTTTACCTTCTATATGCATGCATGGTAGGGGTCTTGCCAAACCCCCTCCATCACTTCAGGAACCTCCTCCTCGGTGATGGCTTAAATAAAAAGAAACTTAAAAGAATCCACTTTTATTAGGTTATGATGTATATTTAAACCAGAATGGCGGCAATGAAGCATGTACGTTCCATTTGGCCAGCAGTTCTAGTTTTAAAATTTTTAACCTTGATTAATATTAGACCGATCGAGCACACTTGAACAGTTGACCTTGACCCGAGCTGGACTTGACCAAATTAAAAGGCCAAGCAATAATCCTAGAATATCTTACGTTATTAATTAGAATCTAACAGTTAGTATTCACATCCTCCTAGCTTCTCTATGGCTTTTTTTCTAATAGAAACTTAATTATCTGCTGATCTTTAACTGTAAATGAAATTAAGAAAGTTTCTGCTTATGGAGAGTAGAATTACTCAGTTAATAATTAATCCTAACCTTGCCAACTTAAACTTGTCCATTAATCACGGTTACGTTGTTGTAAACATCTGGTATGCGACATCCACTAACGAAAATCTGCGTTGAAAAAGTGCACTAAGCAGAACAAAGCACTCCCTCCTCAGAGAGTCTTCATACTCAATTGAGAATTTTAGTGAGGGAAGAGAAATCCCTGGAATCGACTGCATCCCTTATGAGTCAAGATTCAAATCTCATTAAGGTTAAACTTCAAGATTTTCCTTGGTAGCCTACTTTCAATTGGATGATACCAAATGCATTGATCGAGATAGTTTATTCGCACACGAGCTAGAACGAGGTTATTTACCAAAAGCTTGATCATATTGTTAGGATCAATAGCAATCATATGATTATACTACTAATGCACCAGTGGTCTAGTGGTAGAATAGTACCCTGCCACGGTACAGACCCGGGTTCGATTCCCGGCTGGTGCAAAGCGTATATTTTTTGGGCCAAACTTTCTTTTTTGGAACTAAGGTATGCAAAAAGTTGAAAGAACGGTATGTCATTCTTCTCCTTCTAAACGGAAACATACAGAGGAAAGAATTTAGATCAACTCCAAAAGCAAAAGTTGAGTACAATTTCCCCAGCCCCCTCCCCGTGTTTGCTCGGAGAGAAGAAGAACAAAAATCACCCTCTAGACCCTTTGCAAGTTGAAACCTGCCAATTGCGTCTGTGCCACGAATTCTGATTTTCTTAATCTTTCGATAACAATGCCAATACCAACAAATAGAAGAAAAAATGAAAATGTGAACATACCCATATGTCAAAGCGGATGACTGAAAAGTCTACATCGGGCTAAAACCTGATTCTACTTTAGGAAAGAACGATTTATAGCTCACATGTATAAACTGTGCAAAAGAGTATTTGTGCTATCACGTAATATAACTGGTTGGACGAGATACTAACTTCTCCTACCAGGGGCGGATCTATAGCCCATATTACTGGGCACGTGAACCCATGGTCTCTCTGTCAAACTAGGTATCTTATATACATATTTTCTAGAATTGATCTAGTATTATGTATTGGCACTCATGCTCCATAAAGGTTGAATGGTGCACTTGGTTCAATACTTAATTATTTAATCAAAGAAGCAGAGATCAATTCCCACTTAGCATTTTTTTCCCCTCCGTGGTGCACCCATGTTCTAGAAATCCTACTAGAAATCCTAGATCCGCCTCTGTAGACCTACGTATCATTACTTTCTACAGTTAGTTTAAAAGTGACCTAATTGTATAAATCCTTTTTATCTCTTGAGTACATAAAACTTCCAACAATCATCCAAGAAACCCTCTAGATTCGGTGAAATTGGGACCAACTGTGCTTTGAGTGACCGAGTAAAACTTCGGTTTCTAAGACTCCACTCCATGTGGTAATTAATTCATTGATCGACTTAAAATCAACCCCAGATCGTAACATCCCACCAGGTACGAGGTGTGTAAAAGGGGCTGTGGAGAACTTTCCTTAACTTACCATCTTACGAATGTCCTTTGCTGCAGAAACAACAATACTTTTAGCTCTCTATCAACTTAGGCGCCTGAAATAAAATGTTTAACTGCATAGTACTGATATTCCATTTGACACTGAAAAGCATCTGTTGCACCAAAACATCTTTTACACAGACCCACAAGTCACAAAATTCTTACATTGAGGAATTGGCAGCAGAATTTTGAGTAAAAACAGCATTTCTTTCTGCACACAAAACCACTACATATTCTAGTTCACAATGCTAATTATCTAGTGAGATAGTATACCACCAAAAAGAGGACCACAAATGAGGCTACAAGTGTAAACATTCTTCGGCTTGATTTGGTCTCGAATACCTAAGAAGCAAAGAAGACAGTTCAGATTCTGCAATACAAGGCAAAGTTGGTTTACATATCGTCCAATATTACATACCATCTTAAATTTATCCATTGTTCCAGCCAAAACTCCCCTTGAAGAATCCATATCATTACCCTGAATAGCCATACAGGAAAAGATTGCGCATATTTTAGTAATACAACAAACATAAAAGCATGAGGTAAGTTACTTCATTGAAGTGTGCTGACCATTCTGTCCAGCATCCTATTATGTGTCTCCACTTCCTCGTGTATATCACCTGATAACTGGTGGATTAAAGACTTCATCAGGACAAATCTAAAACTCTTCAAAAGTTCAAGATGCTCATTGCCAACAACACAGCAATGTTAGTTGATGCACACATATTGAATGATGATCCAGAAGAGAGAAAGAAACTTAGAAGAACTCAAATACTTATGTTGCAACAAAAAGCAAAAACAGGTTTTCCAACCTAATCAATGACCACCATAGTTAAATATACATAACAATAAGTTGAGAAATGAGCTTTCTAAAGCATAAAAGGATATCTGAGAGTGTGCTCAATCTGGGATTTCACAAAAGATGTTCTAAAAATGGTGCATAGTATGTTCCATTGAAAATTACTGAAAGATGAATAATTTTGACCTCCCAAAACCATCAGTTGTCTACTAACATTCCATGCCAAACATGGGAAATGAGCATATAAACAACTACATAGCATTGAAGAGACAAAAGGAATCTTCTCTTCAAGGAAGATGGTGTATATTTTACCCCATGAGAGATCAAATAGTTAGGCTCCATCTACTACTACTTACCAAAAAAAGTTCTCCCCCTTTGGAACCTCAATCACCCTTTAAGAGGGGTCTATAGTTCAAATACACAACAAAAATGATGGTGCTCTTTTACCTGACCAGTAAACATAGAAAATGAAACTTAAGCTGAATAAAACTAAAAGCTTCTACATGTGCAGGACTTACTCTTTTCAGCAGATTAACTCTATCTTGCAACCCATCCATTGCTTTCTCATTCTCTTGTTCATCAATTTCATGTGAAGCATATGACGACGAAGCCCTTATACCACCTTCCTCAATTCCATCAAATAGTGCTGCTCTGTTGCTACGTTCCCTAAAATCAAGGATTGTTAAGCAATAGGAAGAGATGGGTGCAAATAAGAATGTTCTTTTACAATTACAAGAGCAAAAAGCAGCCCTGGTTATGAAGTCACCCCACCCCCAGTAGGTTAGCGCGGATAAAGGCTAGAAACAAAGTTGCCAGTTCAACTTTTTGGGGTTTTCTTGCCACTTCAAATTACCCCGGCCATGTAAAATATGAGAGTCTAAGGCTGCAACAGAAATGATAAAGTTCACACCAAAGTTGGATGAAGCCTATAGTCCCATATTTACATCTCATACTACATAAAAAGAGGATCAGGCACGGGGAACATACACATTCAATGCACAAGCAGGATATAGTCATAATACTTTCTTATTTTTATTTAAATGAAGAAGGATTAGGTCATAATACTTTTTCCTTTTTAACCGTAGAAGAGCAAATTTTGGTCCTAAATAATATACTAGCTTAAAGCTTGTATCCATTCTACTTAATGTAATTGCTTTAGAAAACACATGATTTAGCAATTGAGGTGGAAGAATGATAGTCCACACTAATAAAGCATTGGTAGGATGGGAACAAGATAAAATCAACTATGTGCCACCTAATTACACATTTTAAGGTTGTTTTTGAGGTCTAAATACTACCGAGGTCACATATATTTGCGGGTAGTAGTGTCCATCCAGTGAACTAGCGTAAAATCATACAAATAAACTGTGAAAGAGAACTAACAGGATTCTAAAACATACTGCAGAACACAGGAAGTTTTCTTTAAACAAAAAAAAAAGGAAAAGAGAGAGTCGTAAAGTATATAATAATGGCCATAATAATGTAATATCAACCTAGTTGACTGGTCATGCATGTCAAATATAGGTTTGAGATGAGATCAAATTGAGCAACATGGATAGTGAGGATTCATATAGCTGACCCCAACTTACTTGGGAATGAGTCATTATTGTTGTAGTTTTTTAAGTAATATCAAGATCCATGGTAGATGGAGAAATGCATCCTAATATGCATTGGTTAAGCAGAAAAAAAGAGTACAAGCTTGGGCTAGCATGTGGATATTCTGATTACCACAATATCAATGAAAGAACTACACCTCAATCCTAAACTAGTTGAGCCGGTTATATCAGATATGAATCCTCTGTATCTATGCAAGTCCATTTACCACAGTGTCGTGATAATTCAAAAAAAAATCACCTGATCCTATTCTCGATATAAGAAAGGGTACCAAATGATTTAATCTATGCTATTAACATAATTAATGTGATGAATCAGATGATCTGCATGAAAAATCATTGATTAAGAGCAAAGACAGGATAAAGCTCGAAAAAAGAACCTTCGAGAATTCATGGCTAGCAGAGATTGGAGGTCGCACTAGGAATGATGTGAAACTTCGAAACCTGTTAGCGAATTGCAACAATAGATCAAATAATTAGCCAAATCAGTGTATATATATAATATCACGATTGTCAAAGTAACAACCCTAGGGTACAGATGCGAGAAATGATTTGAAAAATCATACACAAAAATGAAGTATACAACGAATTATCGAAAACGAAGAATTTCAGATCTGCTGGAAATTTAGGTGGAAATTGCCTGCAGATGATCGCCAAACGGAGACACTGTAGTTTTTGAGGGTGAAATAGGACTCTTAAATCCTTTTGCTTTATACCGGGAAGATTAGGAAAACCAAATGGATTTATCAGCCAATACTCCAAGCTGCCAGTTCTAAAATACTTTATCAGTTTCCAAATATGTGACCACATTTAACTCTCTAATTTCAATTTATTATGTGACCTAGTATAATTTAGCACCGAATTTTTTCAAATACTTTTAAAATTTATAATCTTAATATGCTACTCACTTTAGCATTTGTATTGATATAAGAAAATTTATATTTGTAATCTTAAACACGGCATAATATTTTTGTGGTTAAAAGATAAAAGTAAAATTTAAATATAAATATTTTCAAATATATGAATATGTAATTCTTTTTTAAATTAATTATAAGGTAATAATGTAACACACAAAAAAAATGAATGAATGGAGTATTATTTAGAGAGTCAACTAGGACCACAACTTTATATTTATTAATAAACATATTTTTAATAATTACATTTGTGATTTATAGTAGTTCTTTTTATTCACAAATTTACATTACCGAATAATTAGTAATATTTGGGATTGAAGAAAGTAATGTTTTTAAGTATATAAATTATATTTTTAAAAATATAAAAATAACAATCGGATCGATCAAAATGTAGAAGGTTTTAACTCTGATATTCAGAACTCTTTTATTTTTTTCAACGGAAAGAATAAATAGGAGTACTAATAAATGTAATCCTCATATTCTAAAAAACTTTAAAAGTGTTATAAATATAATTCTATTTAAGGTGAATGTCTATACTTTAGAAAGATTTTAGGGTTTGTTACTTTTTGGCCAAGTCACTTTACCCCTATAAATAGATGAGTTCTATTCCATTGCAATTCATCCTAAATCAATAAGAATTTTCTCTCTCGACTTTTCTCTATAATACTCTTCTTCTTCTATTGTTTCATAACACGTTATCAGCACGAGACTCTAACCAATTGAGTAAAGACTTTGGGATACGTGCATGATGCTAAACTACATAATATTTAGCATAATGATTGTCAATTGTTCCATGAACTTCCTTCACTAATAATTTCTGGATTTAAGGTAAGTATTTTACCTTATTTTTCTCTTTTAAAATTCTTGAGATTCTATAAATTTGACTTTAAATACAAGCAAACACAATAAATTTTGATTATAACTCTAATAGAGTTTGTAAGAAATTATAACCACCCGAAGTAGTAAAAATTCTATGTCTTGCCATGATCAAATTCATGTATGATTGTGAGCACAAGAAGTTAAAACACGTCCCATTGAATTTGCTTCATTCTCCTTTAATATGATAGCAACGTGTGATAAGTCTTGAAAGGAGACAAAATTATTATCGTAAAGTTATCAATGGTTAGAGACGTGGCAATTTACGAAATTACCATCGTCACTATTGTAGTAATGAGAACAATAAGAATTCTCAAAATAATCTTTCACTCTGTGAAAGTAATATTTGTCATCGATTTGACATGAGATTTTGTAAAGCACATATAGATGATTATGATCCATTTATGATGTGAAATGTGACAATATATGATTTATGAATACATATTCATTCTTGGAAGAATATGAACGTGCTAGTGGTAGTGAATATACCACACTCACCTCTAGAATGAGATCATAAATGGTCATGATCATGTATCTATTGTGATTATGCCAAAATAGTATAGCAATGTGACTATTACAGGGCAAAAGTAATGGAAGCAACATATCTTGCCTATAATAATTTTGACCATGACAATAATGGTATAACTTTCTTCTTGAAAGAAATATTCACCATATGGATATTGATAAATATTTGGTAGTACAAAGTTAATCGAAAGCTCTGGAAGAGTCAGCTATGCTATTTTTTGGAGAAATAAAATTGATTACCTAAGGTATTGTATCGTAGTAAGTCTCAAAGAAACTTATTGAGTTTCTAAAGTATTCGCGAAAGCGGTTGATTATATTGAGACTATTAATAAAGGAAAGATTTAATATCTTCTATTACTACAACTTGTAGCGGGGTAATATGTATGTGATAAGCTACTCGCTTTATTCTTCAGTTTGTTCTACACAAATAAAAGAATGCTACAATAAAGTAGAAGTTTATTGATACAAAAACTCGTATCATAATAAACTTGGAGTTTATTGATAATTACACATGTCATGGTGTAAACCTGAAGTTTATCAATATTGAAAATTTATCCAATTGGCATAATTGGTTTAGCCATATTAATTAAAGTATGATGTGAAAAAAATAAAAGATAATTCACATGGGTAAATATTAAAGAACTAGAAAGTTCTATACGAATTCTCTTATGTTGTTTGTTCTCATTAATTAATAGACCAACTAAAATTGGGATTGGATCCCATGAATGCTAGAAATATCAATGGTGAATATGGGCTCATTCACCTGCCATGTATACTACATAAGATGTATCAATGAGATGGTTACATGTGCGATTATTATTAACCAGCAACATGGTGTTTGGAGGGTAACTTGCTCAATAATTTAATTTGGAGCATAATTTTCAGATTTTCTATTCAAGATAGTTCATCTTGATAAGATGATTTACATCACAGTTGGTTTAGCAAAATGATTTATTGAGTGCCTCCACTTAATAGCTAAACTATTTCTTATGAGGGCAAAGTTATCTATAGTAGTTTGATATAGGTTATATACGAAAGTATATTACATTCTCCCCTCACAAGTGGTTCAGGGTCAGGAACCAAATAATTTTATCTTATTATTATTGATGTGCAGTATATATTTGTCACGACCCTAAAATCGATCCGATCGTGATGGTGTCTATCGTGAAACTAGGCCAGCCGACACAAACCCCAAATCCAACCAGTATTTCATAAAAGTCATTTTAATCTATTAATTAACAAAATCTCATAATATAAGCCTAAATAACCAGTGCAAAAAATAACACGAGCCCGACATCGGGGTGTCACAAGTCACGAGCAACTACAAGGTCTGTCAAGTACAATAAAATCTATCAAAATCTGGGAACAATACTAATATAATCTAGGGAAGATAAGAGGGAGAAGAGCAGGGCTGCGAACGCCGTGCAACTACCTTGCCGACTCCAAGACCTGCTGAATGGGCAATCAGCACTCGCTATCAAGACCCGCAACTCCTGAATCTGCACACAAGGTGCAGGGAGTAATGTGAGTATGCCAACTCAGTAAGTAATAAAAGTAAATGAATGGTGAGCAGTAAGAAATCAGATAATTCCACGTCATAGCACTACAACAAATACGATATGGTTCCAAAACAATGTAGAAGTCAATTATCTCATAAAAACTCAGTTTCAGTAAAAATACTTCGAAAAATGTCTTTCTACAATTTCAACAAAGAATCAAGAAGTTTAGAGTAAAAAGTGATGAAATCATAATCAGCCCCTCGGCCAAAATATGTATCATATACTGCCCCTCGGGCATAATATCAACAGAACTAGCCCCTCGGGCTATCTCACAATCACTCGTAATTAGCCTCTCAGACATAACATGTATCAGAATCAGCCCCTCGGGCAACAATATATCACTCACTCTGGGTACCCGCGCTCATTGGGGGTGTTCAGGCTCCGAAGGGGCTCCTACAACCCAAGCGCTATCACAAGCCATCTCATGGCATAATAAATCAGGCCACCGGCCTCTCATATATCACAAATCAGTACAATGTTGCGGCGCACAACCCGATCCCATGATATCCTCACAATATGGGGCCCCCACCACACTCGGTCAGAAATCTCTCAAGCCACTCAGGTTAACAGTAAACAGGGTGCTCAGCCCAAAAATATCATTTATAGTATCAAAATGGAGTAAATAAGGCTGAGTTATGAAATCAGTAAAATACAGCATGACTGAGTACAAATATTAACTCAAAACAGTGAGGAATAGCAGTATAAAAAGCCCCTAAGGATCCAAGCAGCTTGACATGATGCCCAAATATGGTATTCAGCCCAAAACATAGTAATACTTTCAATAACACAATGATATCAAATAGTTTTTAGTCAAATATGCGACTTATTAGTCGTACGGGACGGACCTAGTCATAATCCCCAATGATGCACGCCTCCCCACGCTCGTCATCTAGCGTGTGCATCACCTCAAAGTAGTGAAACGATGTGAAATTCGGGGTTTCATCTCAGGACAATATTTACAATCATTACTTACCTCAAACCGATCAAAACTCTAATCTGTGATGCCCTTTCCTCTCGACTCGGCCTCCAAATGCTCCAAATCTAACCAAAATCAGTGTCACATCATTAATACATGCTAAAGGAACAAAGCCCATGCAAAAATAATCAAATTAACTCGAAAATCCCGAATTTGGCCAAATCCGACACCTGGGTCCACGTCTCGAAATCCGATAAAAATCACAAAACCAGAAAACCCATTCGCTCATGAATCTACCCATATCAAATTCACCAAAATCCTACATCAAATAGCCATCCAAATCCCCAAAATCAACTCTCCAAATTTTCTTCCATTTTCCCCAATTTTCACCCCAAATTCTCAAATTAAACGATATAAATGAAGACATAATCATGGGATTTAACCAAATTTGAGTGAAAAACACTTACCCCAATCACTCCTCTGAAAATTCCCTCCAAAATCGCCTTCTCCTGAGCTTTCTATTGAATTTTGGAATTATGAACTCAAACCCTCGTTTTTGAACTTAAACATTCTGCCCAGTTATTTCCTTCATCGCGATCGCGAAATTTGCCTCGTGATCGCGAAGCACAAAAATGGACTGCCCCTCAACTTACCTTACGCGATCACAGAAACACATACGCGATCGTTGATAACAAGCTCATCAAACAACGCGAACGCGACCCTCACTACGCGATCGTGTAGAGCAATTCCTTCACCTCACGACCGCTCCAAATCCCTCTTCGCGAGCGCGACCTCAGCCACGCGTTTGCGTTAGCCAACTCAACACACCTTCGTGATCGCATACCCCAATTGGAGATCGCATAGAACAATTCCACCTCTGACCCAACTAAGCCTTCGCGATCGTGGCCCCCTCTTTCCGATTGCGAAGAACAACCCTTTTGCAACAGAACACCAGCAAATCTGCCAATTTTTCAAGTCCATAAATGCCC